CTGGGACATTTATCCTTTTTTCTTACTAACTTTTATATTACAAGTATGATTTGTAAATTATTAAAAATTTAAGGCTGGGTGAGGTGGCTCACGCCTCTAATCCCACCATTTGGGAGGCTGAAACAGAAGAATTGCTGGTGGCCAGGAGTTCAAGAACAGCCTGGGCAACGCGGTAAGACCCTGTCTCTACCAAAGAAAAAAGAAATTGGCTAATGGGCATTGGGTAGAGTGCCTATGGTCTCAGCCACTTGGGAAACTGAAACCGAAGGATGGTTTGAGCCCAGGTCGCAGTGAGCTATGACCACATCACTGCACTCCAGCCTGGACAACAGAGTGAAACCCTGTGTCTCAAAATAAAAAGCCAAAAAAAATTTTTAATTAAAAATTAAAATTTAAAAAATAACAAATACATATAAGCAAAAGAAAAGAAAAAATTACAAATCAACAATATTATTAATTAGTATTAATGGTGAAAGGCAGAATGCTTTCTTACTCTAAGGCCAAAAATTAGACTAGAAAATAAAAAGAACAAGACAAGGATGTATGCTCATTCCACTTCTATACAACACTGTACTGGAGATTCTAGTGAGATTGCAAAGGAACAAGTACAACCACCACTATGTGCAGATGAAGTTATCTCATATATAGAAATTCTTAGGAGTACACACACACACACACACACACACATGTCCCGTTAGAAGTAATGAATGCGTTCAACAATATTGCAGTGTGTAATATCAATATTTTAAAAGTATTTTTATATACTAGCAATAAACAATCTAACAATGAAATTAAGTAAACAATTATATTTATAATAGCACCAGAAAGAATAAAATACTTAACATAAATTTAACAAAAAAGTACAAGACTCGTAACAGTGAAACACCACAAAACATTGTTGAAAAGAATGAAAGAAGATCTAAATTAACAGAAAGACATCCATGGTCATGAATAGGAAGACTCAATATTGGCAGTATTTCCTAAATTGGTCTTCAGATTCAGCGCAATCCCTATCAAAATTCAGCTGCCATTTCATAGGGAATGCAAAAAGTTATGATTAGAAATGATCACAAAATTTATACAAACATTCAGATAACTCAGAATAGAAAAAAACAATCTTGGGAAAGAAGAAGAGAGTTGGATGACTCAAACTGCCCAATTTCATAGCTTACAACAAAGCTACAGTGATCCAGACAGTGTGGTATGGTGTCAGGAGTAGAACTGATAATCCAGAAAACAAACCCTGGCATTTGAAGTCTCTTGATCTTTCACAAGGGTGCCAAGATCATTCAATGGAGAACAAATACTCTTGATGATAAACGGTGCTGGACAACTGGATTTCCACATAAAGAAGGATAAAATTGGACTTCAACCTCACACTACACACGTTCACTCAACATGGAAAATAAATTTAAGCATAAGAGCTAAAGCTAGGTGGGGTGTGGTGGCTCACATCTGTAATCCCAGCACTTTGGGAGGCTGAGGTGAGTGGATCTCCTGAAGTTAGGAATTTGAGACCAGCTTGGCCAACATGGTGAAACCCCATCTCTACTAAAAATACAAAAAATTAGCAGGGCATGGTGGCACATGACTGTAGTCCCAGCTACTCAGGAGGCTGAGTTAGGAGAATCACTTGAACCTGGGAGGAAGAGGTTGCAGTGAGCCAAGATCACACCACTACATCCAGCCCGGGTGACAGAGCGAGACTCCGTCTAAAAAAAGAAAGCTAAAACTCTAAAATTATTAGAAGAAAACATAAGAGTCAATCTTTGTGATCTGTGTGAGGCTATGGTATCTTAGATATGACACCAAAAGCATAAGGGACAAAAGAAAAATAGAAAAGTTATACTTCATTATAACATACTTTATTAAACCCCAAAATTTCCATGCTGTAAATGACACCATCCAGGAAGTGAAACGACAGCTCACAGAATGAGAGAAAATATTCAAAAATCATACACATCATACATGTCACAAGGGATTTATATACAGAATATATAGAATTTATATAAAGAACTCATACAATGAAATAATCAACATATGAATAACTCAATTAAAAATTGGAATGGGATCTGATAGTTCTCTAAAAAAGACATCCAAATTATCAGGAAGCAAAAGATGTTCAACATCATTGGCCATTAAGAAAATACAAATGAAAACCACAATGAAATACCATTTTACATCCTATGGTAGCTATATGCAAAAAGACAGATAAGGGCGAGTGTGGGTGAAAATGTAAAGAAATTGACACTCTCATATTTCTGATGGGAATGTAATATGTTGCAGCCGTTCTGGAAAACAGTCTAGTGGTTTCTCAAAAAGTTAAGCAACATAATTACCATATGACCCTGAAATATCCTCCTCAGTGTATACCAAAGAATTGGAAATATATGTCTACACAAAAACTGTACATAAATGTTTATAACAGAATTATTTATAATAGCCTTAAAGTGGAAACAATCCAAATGGCCATCAAAAGATAAATAAATAAAATGTAGTATATCCATATAATAAAACTTTATAATTTAGCAACAAAAAAAGAATGAATTACCAATACATGCTATAACATGGATGGACCCTGGAAACATTATGCTAAATGAAGAAGCCAGTCACAAAAAAACCACACACTGAATAATTTCATTTACGGGAAATGTCTAGAATAGGCAAACAGGAGGAACTGTAAGGTAGGTAAACTATATTTCAATAAAGCTGTTCAAAATCCCCCACCTCTCGGAGGTAATCACTGTTAATATATTTAGTAAAAATAACTTTCAATGTACAAATATATACATATATTTGTATATTGTAAAATGTATATATTTGTATATTGTATGAAATATATATATACACAAAACAAAAGAACAGTAGGGTGCAGTGGTTCACACCTGTAATCTCAGCACATTGGGAGGCCGGGGTGGGAGAATTGCTTGGGCTCAGGAGTTTGAGACCAGCCTGGGCAACACAGTGAAACCCTCTCTCTACAAAAAATAAAAAACCCTGTCACTACAAAAAATACTGTGTACCGGGTGCAGTGGTATACACCTGAGTCCCAACTACTCAGGAGGTCAAGGCAGGAGGATCACTTGAGCTTGGGAGGAAGAGGTTGCAGTGAGCTGAAATCGCACCACTGCCCTCCAGCCTGGGAAAAAGAGTAAAACCCTGTCTCAAAAAAAAGAAATTATACTATACATTAATCTTCTCTCTTTGTAACAGAATGTCATTAAATATTATCCTACAATGTTATTTTTTTAAAGCTACATATTGATTTTGTTTCCATAGTTCTGTAATTTTGCTTAAAGAATCTTGGTCAAATCTTTTTGTTGCTTTTAATTTGTTGTTATAAACAACACTGTTGTGAACATCTTTTGACTAACTTGGGTAACAAATATGCATATTTTGATGTCCTGAACTATAAAAAGTCCATGACAACCTTGAAGAATGCATCAGTTTGTTCTCCCTCCAGCAGTTCAATACTGTGCCGTTTCC